GCATCTGTTTCCAACTGACCTACAAATTCGACTTAAAGACACACTTAGGAACTGATCTTGCTGTAACCCAGGGGCTGCCTATATGTCCGCACAATATGTACAGTGTGGCATATCTACACAATACAAACAACGTGGTATAGCCATAGGATACAATATCCATAGAATACGCTGCTCAGCAATAAAAAGGAATAAACTGTTGATACACTCAACATGGATGAATCTCAAAATGATTATGATGAGTGAAAAAGCCAAATTTAAAAAAGTCCATAGCGTACGTCTCTATTTATATAAAATTCTAGAAGGTGCAAATTATAGTGACAGAAAGCAGATCAGTGGTTGCCTAGGAAGGGGGCAAGGCAGAAGGGAACGATGACAAAGGGGCACAAGGAAACTTTTGGGGTGAATGATGTGTTCACTGTATTCATTGAAGTGACAGTTTCATGACATGTGCGTCAAAACTTATCAAATTGCACTTTAAATATGTGCAGTGAATTATATGCCAACTATGAATAAAGCTGTTAAAAGAAAAATCTCTGTCAGGGCCAAGAATTTGGGCCAAGTTCAACCCTCCACTACTAGCATTCATTCTTTGATCTAAACCACTTACGCAGTCAACATTTACCAAGACTCCCTTGGGTGGAGCAGCTGGTTAAGTGCTGGACTACAACTGAAAAGTTGGTGGTTGAAATCTACCCAGAGGTGCCTCTGAAGAAAGCCCTGGCAGTCTACTTCTGAAAGGTCACAGCCATTGAAACCCGATGTGCAGTTCCACTCTGGCACACGTGGGGCCACCATGAGTTGGAATTGACGGGAGGGCAACTGGTTTGGTTTTTTGGTTTTGCTTTGTTTTTCCTTGCACCATGTATCATGAAGGCGTTCGGTTACAAGGTGAGGGTGCTGAGAAGTTCTTATGAGGTGCAGTGGTGAGGCCAAGACGAAGCTGCCGGCCGTTGGACACTGGCCGGCATCACCCAGAAAGAATCTGTCATGTGCTCTCCCCAGCTAAACGCTCGAGGTTTCTGGAAGAGTCTAAAGGAATAGGTCTTTGTGTCTCTGGTAAATCTAGTTGGCCTACTCAAGGACTGATGTCCTCTTAGCTAACTGCTAGCTAATCAGTTGACCCTACAATTGGAAAAGATGGGAGAGGGGCAGTATCAGACGCAAACAGAGCCATCTGGAGACCACAGCAGTAATCCAGGCCAGAGATGGTGGTAACTGGGGAGGAAGCTGTGGAGGGGGTGAGAAGTGGTGATGCCCGGATTTGGTAATTGAGTGGATGTGGGATGGGAGAGGCATCCAGGTGGACTCCAAGGTGTGGGACTGAGCACCTGGAAGGAGCACCTGCAAGTGGGAGCCACCAGCTGAGATGGAGGAGGCTACCTATGGGTGGGGCAACGGGAGGGTGAAAGTTCTGGAGTTGGGCTTTCAGCATGTAAAGTTTAAGATGCTTCTTAGAAACCCAAGTGGAGATGTCCAGTAGGTGGCCAGACACAGGAAGAAAGTTCAGGAGGGAGGTTCTGGCTGAAGAGAGTAACTACTAGTTAGGAGGCTACTGCTGAGCTTGATAATGGCTTTTGGAGAGTCCGGCATAGAAAATGATAATCCAGTATCTTTTCGTGCCACCACCTTGTTGCTCCCTGCGCCAGTCAGCCCTCCATCTGCCGTAGGGCTCCTTCCCCTGTGTGTTACCCCTGACTTTGGAGAGAGATCACAGCGAGTGGGGGCAAGAGCTGTTAAGAAGAAGCAGAGCCATCCCACTTAACTCTTTGACAGTCTGATTCAGGCTGCATTTCTGGCTCAGCATGATCCCCCCCAACGCCTGATGTCATTGCTCTGACCATGTTAGTAACCCAGATGGGAAAACGAGGATTTGACTTCAGGGCACGTGCTGCCCAGGGATGACAGAAACCCCAGTGGGCATTTGCAGTTGCACCAATTGGGCACGATTTGCTGTGATGGGGCGAGTTGGCCTGATCCCTCACAGGAGGAAGGATGGAAGAGTGTGCTGGGCTTAGGAGCCTGGAAGCAAATACCATTAAAGGAAATCTGATTCAAGTTAAATAACTGAGCCTTGCCTTTTGGAAGGAATCTGTTCCCCCAATATCCTGAGTCTGGGAAAGAGACAAAGAAGGGGAGGGAAGGAGAGGGGGAAGGAGATAGCTGCTCACCCAGATGTTTGTCAAAGTCAACACGCTCTACAGTCTACCCTCTCGCTTCGCTATCTCCAGCATCGCCAGGGAGCTTGTTCAAAATGCAGATCCTCAGATCCACCCAGACCTACTCAATCTGCAAACGATTCATACACACAGTAATATCTGAGACACTAGTTAAGTGCTCAGCTGTTAACCAAAAGGTTGGCAGTTTGAACCTACCCAGTGGCTCTGTGGGAGAATGACCTGGCAATCTGCTTCCATAAAGATTAAACTAAAGAAAAAAAACCAAAAAACAGAATTCACTGGTGTCGAGCCAATTCCAACTCATAACGATTATATAGGACAGAGTAGAAGTGCCCCATAGGGTTTCCAAGGCTGTAATCTTTATGGAAGCAGATTGCCACGTCTTTCTCCCACGAAGCAGCTGGTGGGTTCCAACTGCCACCCTTTTGGTTAGTATCCAAGCGCTTAACCAGGGGCAGTTCTACTCTGTCACATGGGGTCATTATGAGTTGAAATCGATTCAACTTGCTCATCAATGCCAACAAAGTCTACATGGCAAGGAGCCTGGGTGGCGTAAGTGGTTTGCGATTGACTGCTAATCTAAATGTTGGCAGTTGGAATCCACACAGTGGTTCTGCAGAAAAAAAGCCTGGCAATCTGCTTCCGAAAAGATTACAGCCAAGAAACCCCTACGGAGCAGTTCTACCCTGTAACACATAGGGTCCCCATGAGTCAGAACTGTCTCAACTTTGGCAATGGGTTTGTTCTTTTTGGTTTTGTCTACATGGCTCTTTTCCAAATGTCTGGTTTTCACCTACCACCCTCATCATTTTTGCCCTATCCCGGTACCACCCATAACATGGTTTACTTAATCTTTCTCTTTAAATCAGTTCGCTTTTTAAAAAACTCAAATGTATTTATTTTTGTCAATGAAGTTTTATATCACTGTTATCAGTGGAAAATCAGCGTCGGTCACCTTAAATGGAAATAACCAAGAAAGTACATGGAGCAAGATGAAAGGAAAACCCCGTTACCTAAACTCTGGCTGGATCCTGCTGCCGCCGGACATTCTTAGCCCAAGGCCTGCTCTTTCCTTAAAGGGAGACTGGCGAGTGTTAAAGAGCTGATGAAGACCTTCTACGCTCAACGCATCCCTTCCTTTGAGGTCACCACGAGGATTGGAAAAGGGAATAGCTTTTTCACAGCATCCACGTAACACACCTGACATCATTCACCCCCCACAGTCTAGTCCCCACACTTTAGAATAAGTGCTATTCTAGAAGTGTCCTTGCTCCCCATGCTCCCCCATCCAGGCTCCTTGCATCTTTCTCCCCACATTAAGAGTCTCCTTAAAGGCAGGAAAGAATCGATGGTGTTCAAATTGTGGTGCTGGCAAAGAATATTGAATATACCATGGACTGCCTGAAGAATAAATGAATCAAATCTTAGAAGAAACACAACCGGAATGCTCCTTAGAAGCAAGGATGGTGAGACTTCAGCTTGCTTCCTTTGGACACATCTGTCATCAGGAAAGACCAATTGCTAGAAAAGGACACTATGTTTGGTAGAGGGTCGACGAAAACAAGGGAAACCCTCAGTGAGATGGATTGACACAGTAGCCTCAACAATGGACTCAAACACACCAATGGTCAGGAATATGGCGCAGGACTGGGCAGTGTTTCATTCTGCTGTATGTAAGGTCACTAGGAGTCAGAGCTGACTCGATGGCAACTAACAACAACAGAAGGCACATCCACACAGGTACGTGTGTTGGGGGATTCCCCATCGGGAGACTCCTGGGCCGGCCCACCCTGTGGTCATCAATTCCTTCAGCCCAGAGAAGTCACCAGTCCCTCTTCCGGCAACCATCAGCATGAGCAGGAGACACTCCAGAGCTCAAAGTGCTTCTGCAAGGACAAGGACCCAGGGAAAGTTACCAGGTTTCGGGCATGGCACCCCAGGATCACAGTGAGCAGCTGAGGCTGTCCACACAGCCCCAACTACTGGGTGATCCAAACCCTGCATGGTGAGCGTGTAGACCTGGCCTTATAAGATGGGTTCCTGTGGGCAGTTGAGAACCAATTGCTTTGCAGCAGAGGTGAGAACTGGATCCTAGTATTTTCCAGATGAAGTAAGCACCTCTGGCACAGCATCTGGCACCGAGTAGGCACTCTGCCAATTTATGTTGAATAAGGAGGGTAAATTCCATGCAGAGAGGACTCCCTGGGAGCCATCCCAGAGGGGTGACACCACATGACACATTTGAGCAAGACAGTAGTGGAGGGGTAAGGTTGGTGTGGGTGTAACAGGAGATAGGTGACAGAATTAGGCAGTCCTTCCTATTCCTTAAATTCAAAAAGCACCCCAACCCTTGACAGGGGATCATTATGCTGTTGGAGACTTAGAAAGTCAGAGGATTACATTTCTAAAGATGCTGACATGAGCAGAAATCTGCTCAGATCTGATTGGCAGGGACGATGGTTTCCTGGGGCTGCAATAGCTAGCTACACCCTTTTCATCTGTAGCTACATGATCCTCAGACGGAGGGCGAAGGGGAATGGGAACCATCAGCAGCCTCTTGGGTGATACGGTGGCAGCCAGGCCAAGCTCTAAGCTCCACCATCCAGCGAGCAAGGGAGGATTCGGCCCAGATGCTGGAGTCCCCCAAGAAAGCTCACAGCCCTTGGGGTGGACAAGATCACAGACCATGGAATGAATGGGATCCTTTCAGCAGCAGGTGAGTGGGTGACTTGGTCCAGATGCTGCTAAGACCCATGAGAGGAAGGCATGGATTTTAGCAGCGTGGACAAGAATCTCTCAGGACCCCAGGCACATCTCACTCACCTTGGCCAGCTGCGTCTGGAGCTTATTCTTAACGTCCGTCACTTCGGAGATGCGGGCATTGAAGGCCAGATTGGTGTTCGTAAACTGCTTCCACATCTGATCCGACAAGGTCTCCAAGAGGTTCTCCGCCTCCTCCCGCAGCCGGATGGAGTTGGCCCGCATGTTCTGCGAGTGCTTGATGTTGTCATTACTGAACTTGGCCCAGGTCTCAGGCACGGAGATCCTGCAAGAGGCACAAGGCCAAATTTAACACAGGCGAGGAATCAGGAGTTTCTGGTAGGCGCTGGAGACCTCCTAATGAGGGTTTCTCAGCCTCAGCAATATTACCATTTGGGGCTGGATCATCTTTGCGGTAGGGGGCTGTCCTGTGCACTAGAGGATGTTTAGCAGCATCCCTGGCCTCTGTCCACTAGATAGCACTCTCTCCCCACATTGTGATAGCCAAAAATGTCTCCAGACCTTGCCCAGTGTCCCCTGGGGGGGAGAGCACGATCGCCCAGGTTGAGAACCACGTCCTGATCCCACCCCTGGTTTTACAGGTGAGGCAACTGCAGCCTGGGCAGAGCAGCTGGCTCCCCAGGGCGCTCTTTCGGTTCGTAGGAGAGAAGGGACACCCACGTGGAGCTCTCTTCCATAACACCCCCTACAACCACCACCAAAACCTAGAGACAGATGAAGAACCCAGGCACTGGAGCACGACGCTAGTGGCAGCATCCTTCAACTCAGTGATGAGCATGAGGCTATGCCAGTTTCGCTGACTTCTTCACTCAGCAAGTATTTTTTGAGCACCTACCTTGCCAAGCATTGTTCTAGGTACTTGGGATAGAGCCATGGACAAGAACAGCAAGGTCTCTGCCCTCACGGCGATTAATTTCCAGCGAGGGAGACAGACAGTAAATAAGAGACTTACACATTACTTTAAGTGCTATAAGGAATTTAGAAGCATGATGATGAGAGAGAGATAAAGTGGCCTCGTTATGTGTCAGTCAGGGTCATAAAGGAAAGATGGTGTCCTCAGAAGGGTGTTCATGAAGGGACCATCTTCAGAGGTGTGGGAAGGGTTAAAGGAAACAACAAGGAGAGTTGAGAAGGTCAGGGACTAGCAAACACATGAAGCCGTCACCATCCCAGCTCTGAAGGAGCAAATGGAGATGGAGCCATGTTTCCAGAGCAGGAGAGGAGGAGCCACAGAGGGGCACAGCACCCAGGAGGAGGGAAGGATCAAGGGGAGTAAATCCCCTGACAGCTCTCTCCTCCCACCCTTCATCTCCTGCTGGTGCCCTCCCATTGGCTGATCCCAGCTGGAAGCCGGAAGGCAAAGAGCCCAGGAGAGATGGTCTGCAGGGCAGCTGGAGAATGGACCCTGGGGGAACGAAGAGAGATAGATGGACACAGGCGGGCAGGGAAGGCTTCTCAGACTCAGCTCAGACAACAGCAAGTTCTTACAGAGTTTGTAAACCCCTGGAACAAACAACCTAAGGAATGTGTGGCGTTCTCTCCTCTGGGAAGCCTTCAAGAAGGACATGCATTCCTTTGAGCTGTTTCAGCTCCAGCAAGCCAGACTGGATAACTTTTCAAGGTCTTTTCGAGCTCAGGATGTCTCCAGTTCTTAGACAAAGATTTTTTTCTTGGCCAGTAGGGAAAAACGAGACTCCATTTTCTGAAATAGAGTCTCTTTTCAGAGATTTCAGGGCACACTTAGGTTGCATGGTGAATAAAAAATTTCAGAAAACATATACAATACAACCTGCAAATGCTGGAACCTGTGTAAGGCAGAAACCTGTGAGAGAAGGACAACTCAAATATTTTCCGCTAAAACGAGCAACAGAAAAGTGGTAAGACGGCACCCTGTCAAAGACGGAAAACTTGCGAGACCCAGACAAACAAGGAGGTCCCTTTGAGTTCCGGCTCTCACAGGTTTCACTGTATATGTGGTTGTTTCGTCTGACTTTTACAGTTGTTAAAATCAAGCAACACATGGAGTTCAAGCTTCTGGAGACGAGAGAGGCCATGGTGCCTGGTCCAGAGCTTTCTTCCAACAAAGACACAAGGTGCAGAGAGGCGAGCTGCTGATCCAGGGTCACACAGCAGTGCGTCATCTCCAGGACTCCGGAGCAGAAGGAGAGGCCAAGGGCAGCAGATAGAGGCCCTCCGGTTTCCTCTGAGAGTATCCACCACTGCAGGATGGGACAGTGTCAGTGTCGACAACAGCAGCCTCCACAGGACAGTCTCTGAGTCCTCTCTCTCCCCTGCAGCTGACAGCTGAGCTCCCCAGAAAAATTAACCCATGTAATTACATTCTCCCAGGGGGAGTTTACCAAAGGCAGCCTGTCTCCTTGGCAGGAGATATACATCAGTGAGAGGGAGGTACTTTCTGGAACCCCTGACCTCCAAAGACAGCCGACAGCAGGCTTGGCTGGCAAGGCAGGAAGGAGCCGTGGTCAAACACACAGGCTCAAGTTGTGGCTCTGCCACTCGGTGTGTGAGCTTGGGCCAGTCACTTCACCTCTGTGAACTTTAGCTTCCTCTTTGTAAAATGGGGATGTGCAGAAAAGGATGGCTGTTGTTGTGTGCTGTCAAGTCCCTTCTGACTCATAGCGACCCCATGTGACAGAGTAGAACTGCCCCATAGGTATCCTAGGCTGTAATCTTTATGGAAACAGATCTCCAGGTCTTTCTCCTATGGAGCTGCTGGGTGAGTTTGAACTGCCATCCCTTAGGTTAGCAGCTGAGCTCTCACCTTTGCGTACCAGGGCTCCTTCAGTAAAGGATTTCTACCCCATTGCCATCAAGTCAAATCCAACTCATAGAGACCCTATGGGACAGAGCAGAACTGCCCCATAGGGTTTCCAAGGCTGTAATCTTTACGGAAGCAGACTGCCACATCTTTCTCCCTCAGAGCTGTTGGGTAGGTTCAAACCACTGACCTTTCTGTTAGCAGTGAAGTGCTTAACCACTGCACCACCAGGGCTCCTTAAACCAAACCCATTGCCCTCAAGTCGATTCTGACTCATAGAGGCCCTATAAGACAGAGTAGAACTGCCGCATAGGGTTTCTGAGGCTGTAAATCTTTGTGGAAGCAGATTGCCACATCCTTCTCCCGCAGAGTGGCTGGTGAGTTCAAACCACCAACCTTTCAGTTAGCAGCCGAGCGCTTAACTATTGTGCCACTCTTGCCCAAAGAGAGATCTGGCCTTTGTCCCCAGGCTGCTGGGAGATAATCTCTAAACACTTGGAATTCCCTGCCTGATAAGAGCGTTTTTATCTGGAGGCCTTTGGCCATGCCAGATAGTCGAGGCTAACAGTATGACTTATGGTGGGGGGCCTGAGTCCATGCAGTCTCAGCTCCATCTCTGGAGGGGCTGAAGACTAAGTCACACAACAGTCAACCATGTCTGAGCCCCACTGAAAACTCTGGACACCCAGGCCTGGATGGTCTTCCCTGGCTGGCAGCGCTCCATGTGTATTGTCCACATCACTGCTGGGAGAAGTTACTGTTGTTCGTGACTCCCCTGGGACAGGACCACTGGAAGTTTGGCCTGGTGCTCCTGGACCCTGCCCTGTGCGCCTCTGCCACCTGACTTTGATCTGTATTGTTTCACTGCAATACACCATAACCATATGAGTATAAGGCCTTGCTGAGTTCTGTGAGTTTTCCTGGCAAGTTATTGAACCTGAGGATGGCCTTGGGGACTCCTGAACTTGCAGTTGGTGTCAGAAGTGAGGATGGTCTTGGGTACTCCTAAACTCCGCAAGGGAGAATAACAGTATCTACCTCACGGGGTTGTTGAATGACTAAATGATCTGTGAAACCCCATCATAGCACCTGGCACATAGTAAGTGCTCAATAAATGCCATGGTGGTACAGTGGTTAAAGGGCTTGGCTGCTAACTGAAAGGCTGGCGGTTCAAACCCATCAGCCACTCCGTGGGAGAAAGATGTGGCAGTCTGCTTCCATAAAGATTTACAGCCTTGGAAACCCTATCGGGTCGCTATGAGTTGGAATCGACTTGACAGCAATGGTTCTTTGGGTTTTTTATTCATGAGATGCTATGTGTTTTAAAACTCTCAGCACAGTGCCTGGCACATAGTAAACATCAGATAAAAGGCATCTACTGTCATTATTATTGTTGTTGCTGTCAGGTGCTGTCGAGTTGGTTCTGACTCATAGCAACCCTATGTACAACAGAACAAAACACTGTCTGGTCCTGCTCCATCCTCACAATCGTTTCTGTTTGAGCCCATTGGTGCAGCCACTGTGTCAATCCATCGCATTGAGGGTCCTCCTCTTTCAGTGACCCTCTACCAAGCATAATGTCCTTCTCCAGGGACTAGTCCCTCCTGATAACATATGCAATGTACGTGAGACGACGCCTTGCCATCCTTGCTTCTAAGGAGCGTTCTGGCTGTTCTTCTCCCAAAACAAGATTTGTTCGTTCTTCTGGCAGTCCAGATTATTATTGCCGATTAATCCATCCATGGCAATGAGAACTCTGGTGAACAGAAACACTGCCATCCAGACCGTCTTCAAACGTCCTCTTTAACCTGCCCAGACATGCCCTGCTTTAGGAAAACCCCAGGTACAAAGCCCTGAGCTAGCATATCTGGGGAGCAATTAGTCACCACAAACAGCAGCTCTCTCTCCAGTAGTCACTAGATGAGGAACTTTAAATGGCAGCTCCTCCTGGGCATGGAAATTGGAGACTCTGCCAGCCAGCCTGGCTGCCAGGTTTTCAGGGAGGCATCTGTTTGGGAGGGGAGCCCTTCGGACTTCAGTCCTGGTGGGCAGCGGTGGCCGAGGAGGTCCGAGTCCCTGAAGTCCTGCTCACCTTGGCAGCGTCGTGCGGGTGGACATCTTGCAGAAAGAAGAGGAGGGTCCCAGAGTTACCATCGCTGGAATCCCCAAGGGTCATCTCAACACTTAGATATTTACTAGGATCCAGAAAGCAGGGCTTCGACCTGGTTCATTCTGGTTCTAACCCCTGCTGAGAATTTGCGTTTCCACTCCTAGATATACTGAATTTTACATCTACATTTTAACAAAATCCCCAGGTGATTCTTTAATAAATTTTGAGAACCGCTGGAAATACTGGTGGTGTAGTAGTTGAGAGCTACAGCTGCTAACCAAAAGGTTGGCAGTTTGAATCCACCATGGGCACCTTGGAAACCCTATGGGGCAGTTCTACTCTGTCCTGTAGGGTCGCTATGAGTCAGAATCGACTCAATGGCAAGGCAGCGGGTTACCGGGTTCTATTAAGGGTTCTCAGAATTAGTCCCTAACCAGCATCATTAGCATTGCCTGTGAACTTGTTAGAAATGCAAATTCTCAGCAGGGGTTCAAACCGAACGAACAGGTTCAAAGCCCTGCCTGAAACTGATTCCAGGTTTGGGCCAAGGGATTCATTTCCTCCCTTCTTGTTTTCACTCATTCTTTCATTTAACAAATATCTATTGCATATCTACTATCTGCCAAGTACAACTCTATGTGCTAAAAATTAAAAAAAAAAAAAAGACCAAGATAAGACACCATCCTTTGCCTGTACCCAGAGTGTCTCTCTCTCCAGCCCTCATTACCCTAGACCTCGGATTCCCGATGGGGAAAGTATATCTTAGCTCTGCATGAAATCTGATAAGGCTGTGACATGCCCACGACAGCACCAGGCATACAGAAGGCACCTACCTCATATCCGTCGTGACGAGAGAATGAGGTCACACGTGAGTGCCAGGCATGCAGCAAGCACTCAATAAATGTTAGCTATATTCATTCCCCCATGCTAGGGTCTCTGCTTAGACTTCACAGGCCCACCTTGTACTTGCTCACAGCAACGCTGGGAGGTGGGTACTGTTTCCATTCCAGTGGTATAGATGAGGAAACTGGGGCCCAGGGAGATGAAGTAGCTTTCCCAAAGTGTAAGTACTGATGCTGGGATTTGGATCCAGGCAGCCTGACTCTAGAGTCTGCTATCTTAGTGGGCATCAGTGAGCTTTCCCTGCTAGCCTCTGTTCCTCCTCTGGCTGGTTACAGCCATTTGGCTTTTGGAATTTGATGGACTTGCCACTCAGGGTGCCCCAGATCCCCTGGCTGAGTGGTGGTGGCCATGTGACTCTCACCAAGTCAATCGCATGCTCTCCTGGAATTTGGATTGTGAACAAAGTGGGGTGTTATGGGTTGGACTGTGTCCCCCAAAAAGATATGCTGAAGTCCCAACCCCCGGTATGTGTGAATGTGACTGTCTTATTAGTTATCTATTGCTGCTATAACAGAAATACCACAAGTGGATGGCTTTAACAAAGAGAAATTCATTCTCTCACAGTCTAGGAGGCTACAAGTCCAAATTCAGGGCATCAGCTCCAGGAGAAGGCTTCCTCTCTCCATCAGCTCTGGAGAAAGGTCCTTGTGATGCATCAGTCTTCCCTTGGTCTGGGAGCATCTCAGCGCAGGAACCTTATGTCCAAAGGATGTGCTCTGCTCCCAGCACTGCTTTCTTGGTGATATGAGGTTTCCATGTCTCTCTCCTCACTTCTCTCTTTTATATCTCAGAAGAGATTGGCTTAAGATACTATCTAATCTTGTAGATCTCATCAATATAACTGCCACTAGTCCATCTTATTACATCATAGTGATAGCATTTACAATACATAGGGAAATCATATCAGATGATAAAATGGTAGACAGTCATACAACACTGGGAATCATGACTTAGCCAAGTTGAGAGACATTTTTGGGGGACCCAATTCAATCCATGACAGTGACCTCGTTTGGAAATAGGGTCTCTGCAGAGGAATTAGTCATACTGGAGTAGGTGGGACCTAATCTAATATGACTGGTTTCCTTATCAGAAGAGGAGAAGAGACACAGACACACAGAAACAGAGGGAAAACCTCCATCCGATGACAGAAGCAGAGATTGCAGTGATGCGGCCGCAAGCCAAGGAACAATTCGGGCTGCCAGAAGCTGGAGGAAGCAAGGAAGCATTCTCCCCCAGAGCCTTTGGAGAGAACATGGCCCTGCCAACACACCCTGAATTCAGACTTCTGGCCTTCAGAACTGTGAGACAATACATTCTGTTGCTTTGAGCCACAAAGCCTGGTAATTTGTTACAGCAGCCCTAGGGAGTGAATACATAGGCAAGATTGGAAAATGGTGGTGGTCTGACAACATGCCTGCTTAGCTCCTACTCCCTGGCTCCCTCAAGTTGCCAGAGCCTGGGGCTCTCCAGCCTTCCCCTTGAGTCTGTGACTCCTCCACAACCTTCCAGTAAGTTCCATTTTGTCTGAAGTTAGCCAGAACTGGATTCTGTTGCTTGCAACTGAGGATCCTCAAGCAACCACCCCGCCTCTCACTTGACTGATGTGCGATGCCCCTTTATGGTTCCCGCAGGAGCAGACTCAGAAGCCCGTCCCTATCAGTCCCACCAGGGATGGGGACAGTGAGGGGGACAGACAGTCCCGTACTTACGTGCCGTCGACTTTCTCCATGCCGTGGAAGAAGCTGATGCAGTCTGACGTGTTCCTCAGGTTAAAGCACTTTTCGTCGATAAACTGGGCTGAGCTTTTGTCCTCGAAGTCCCGCTCCAGAGCGTGCTGAGCATCTCGGTTATCCCTGCGGGGGGAAGGGTTTGTCTCCAGGTGTGCACTAACCTAGAGTCCTTCACTCAAGGTCACATTGCAGGGCGGTGAGAGCCAGTGCCGAAAGCCAGGTCTCTGGACTCCCAGGAAGGTGCTCTGTTCACACCAAGCAGCTTCTCAACCCTCTGCCCGCCCTGATGCCTCCCCCATGTCACCATGTACCCAGGACCTCCCCACTCTTTTACCCTCTCCCCCATCCCCGTAGACCTGTCCTTCAGAATGTTGTTGCTGTTGTCAGTTGCTGTCATTTCCGACTGACGGCAACTGCACGTGTGCAGAGCAGAACTGCTCCATAAGGTTTTCAGGGCTGTGACCTTTCAGAAGTAGATCACCAGGCTTTTCTTCTGAGGCACTCGAACCACCAACCTTTCGGCTAGTAGTTGAGCACTTAACCGTTTGTACCACCCAGCAACCTACCATTTAGTATAGGGGTCAGCAGACTTTTTCTGAGGAGCCCAGGTAGCACAACTGTTAAGCACTCAGCTGCTAACCAAAAGGTTCGAGGTTTGAACCCACCCAGCGGCTCCATGGGAGAAAGACCTGGCGATCTGCGTCCGTAAAAATTATAGCCAAGAAAACCCTACGGGGCAGTTCTACTCTGTCATAGGGGTTGCTGTGAGTCAGAATCAACTCAATGGCAATGGGTTTATGAGTCGAAATTGAATAGCACCTAACAACAACAACAAACTTTTTCTGGAAGGGGCCAGACAGTAAATATTTTAGGCTTTGTGGGTCATACAGTCTCTGTTGCAACTACCCTGAGCAAACGCAGCCGTAGACAATATGTAAATGAATGGGTGTGACTGTGTTCCAATAAAACTTTATTTACAACAATAGGTGGTAGGCCAGATTTGGCCCTCAAGCTGTAATTTGCTGACCCCGATTTAAAAGATACAAAATCATACTTTGGCGAAAGCCTCATATCAATTCACATCAGTTCACAAATTGTGTCTGATCCTGTGCTGGACACGGAGAGAAAAGACATAACTAAGATTCAGTCACTGCCTTCAAGATGCTCACAGATTTGTGTAAACAAATTGAGTAGAAATCAACAGTACAGAATGGAAAGAGCAACAGTCCAGGTTTGAAAAGGACATAGGAGTGACCCAGAGGAGGGAGCGGTTAACTCAGGGTGAGAGGTGGTCCTCCCCAGCAGGTGTTTGAGCTAGATTTTTGTAACAAATAGAGTAGACATTCTGGACAAGGTTAGGTGGGGAAAAGAGAATCCCAAGCAACAGCAAGGAAGCTGCATACAAGGAGGTGTTCAGGGATGTGTGCAGCTCTCTATGGCTGGGAGGAGTAGGGGACTGAGGGAGGGGGACTTGAGACTGCCCAGCAAGTGGGGCTCCAGCCTGGAGGGCCGGTATCTTGGCTGAGAAGTTTACCAGCGCCAGTTGCTATCAAGTCAACCCCGTCTCATGGCAACACCATGTGTGTCAGAGTAGCACTGCACTCCATAGGGTTTTCCATGGCTGGTTTTTTGGGAAGTAGATCACCAGGCCTTTCTTCCAAGCTCCCTGTGGGTGGACTTGAACCACCAAACTTTCAGTTAGGAGCTGAGTGCATTAACCATGACTTCTCTTATAGGCCGGTGTTTGCCAGACTCCAGATATCTGAGAACCACTTGCATGATTCTTGCCAATTTCTCCAAGTCAGGGGGCTATTATTTACTTAACAGTTTTCCTTCCCAAAAAAATCACTTATAAAAAATAAATACATGTATTTTAAAAGGAAAATGTGCGTCACTGTTTTTAAAGGAAAACCGGTAACCCTTTCTATGAATAGGTCACCTCAAACATGAATACTAACTACCAAAAAACCCCAAACCCACTGCTGTCGAGTCAATTTCAACTCTTAGCAACACCATAGGTTTCCAAGGCTGTAAATCTCTACGGAAGCAGACTGCCACATCTTTCTCCTGTGTTAGCAGTCAACTGCCTTAACCACTGCGCCACCAGGGCTCCTTAAATACTAACTAAATACTAATTAATCCTAGCTAGATTCTCTTGTCCCAGAAGGTTCTAAGCCTGAGCCTGCATCTGTTTTCCTCTTGATTGAAAAAGGAGATGAGTCAGCTTTAGAGCTGGAGAACACCAATGGGACTTTTCTAGAAGAACTGAAAGAGTAGAGAAGGGAATAACACTCCCTAAGTGAGTTGATGTCCAGGCACCAACTCAAGTACATCTCACAGCAGTCTCTCTCTCCCCCTTTCTGCATCTGTCTCCCTGTCTCTGCATCTCTTTCTGTCTCTCATCTTTGTCTCTCTAACTCATCTCTCTTGGTTTCTCGTCTCAGGGTCTCTGTGTCTGTCTCTCTTTCCCTCCCCCATCTGTCTGTCTCTTTTTGTCTCATCCTTTTTCTGCTGTGGATAATGGGAGTTGGCAGAGGGGTTTAAGCAGGCCAGGAGCAAGGAAATTTGATCCCAATGGTGGATCCCACCTGTCAGGATGGGCGGGGGCCAGGTCCAGTAGGAGGAACCACCATGGGGCCCTCAGGGCCTCTGGAACTGGCAGAACCATGGAGAAGTGGGGCCCATTCTGCCCAATGAGCTGAGATGTGAAGAAAGACCAGGATGTGGAAAACAGGGATGTCAGGGCATCAGAGGGAACTTGGAGGCCTCGGAGGCTCTGGTCAGCTGGCCCAGCAACCTGCCCTGCTAATGAGGCCGGGGAAGAGGGGCGGTCCCCGGCTCCCCTCCCTGGCCCCCGGCCTGACCAGTGCCACGGCTCAGCAGGAAAAGCTGGAACGTGGCTGCTGTCCAACTAGGAGCAGCCTTTTCTGCTTTGCTGGAAGCAAAGGGATCACAAAGGGCGTCTGGTGTGGTGAGGATACAGCCCTGCCCAGATGCAGGGCATCCAGAAAACACCAGCCCGCAGCCCAGGACCTGCGGGTGCCAGGGCAGCGACCCTCGGGGCGAGAACACGCAAGGAGGCTCTAGGTTAATCGGCGGCCTCGGAGCACGAGCTCTCAGAAGGCAGGGAGGCTTCACCACAACAGGACAGCCGTCCCCTGACACGTGGGCTGCTCTGCTCGCTGCCCAAGGACCAACTACCTCTGTCCAGGGTGCCTCGGCCCTCCACCGGCTCCCCCACCCTCCTGCCTCTGGGTCCCTCGGCCTCAGCTGTTCTCTGTTCCTAGCCCAGCATCTCCTCTCCCTTCCCCTGGCTCCGTGTCTGCGACTCGCCTTCTCTTTCTTCTACTCGTCTCCGTCTCACCGCTTGATTCCTTTCTTCGTCTGGTGTGTCTGTGTCTCTGTCTGTCTTTCTCCTTCTGATTCCCTGTCCTCATCTCTGTCTCGGTTTACCTCTTTGTGTCTTTCCTTTTCTCCCTGTGTCACTCGATCTCAGCATCTCTCTTGTTCTCTTTCTCTCTGTCTCTGAGACCATCTCATCTGTTTCATTCTCTCTGGTTCTCCCAGCTCCCCCACCCCGGCTGCATCCCCTGGGGGTGCATAACAGCACCTCGACCTTGGGTCTCAGGATATCTCCTCTAGGGTCCAGCCTCCCTCTCACAGCTCCCCAATTTCAACTGACGGCTTTTGTCCACTCTGCCAGCTCAGTCCATGCAGCTTCCCAAACTCCAATCAATCCTCCCCTGTCCTTTGCCACATACCTCTCTCTACTGCCAGTGGGAAACCACTATCTCTTGTGATAGGTGATCACGAAAATAAATGCAAGAAAAAATACAGTAAATACTTTTGCCTGCCCAGAGCTCTCCCTTTGTTACACCTTTCCTGCTTAAATAAAAGAATTTAAGTTTTTGTTGTTGTTTTTGAAGCAAATTGATTCATAGACAAATATTGTTGCTCGTTAGTTGCTGTCATGTCAGCTCCGATTCGTGGCGACCCCATGTACAACTGAACAAAACGATGCCTGGGCCTGCACCGTCTTCCTGATGGCTGGTATGTGTGAGCCCATTGTTGCAGCTATTGTGTAGTGCCTTCCAACCTGGAGGCTCATCTTCTAGCACTATAATAGAAAATATTCTGTTATGGTCCATAGGGTTTTCACTGGCTAATTTTTGGAAGTAGGTTGCCAGGCCTTTCTTCCTAGTCTATTTTAGTCTGGAAGCTTCGCTGAAACTTGACCACCATGGGTAACCCTGAAATACTGGTGGTGTGGCTTGTAGCACCACCACACCAGGCAGGCCACCGCAGTGTGACACAGACAGACGGGTGGCGGGGACAAGCGTTAGGTTAGCAGCAATCCAGGTGGTGTATGGGACGGTCAGGATCAGGACAGATACACACAAACGACTAGGGCCCAGCCCTGCTTCCATCTGTTCAGCAGTCACGTCAGCCGCGGCTGTGTTTGCATCGCCTTCACCAACCTTCCCCTCTGGTGTCTCCCGGGGTCTTCCCACCAGGCCTGCCCCTGGACCGCGGCCTGTATCTGCAGGTGGCTTTTCTGAAACATCTTTCTCCTTTTCAAGGCTATTTTATCCTGGGTAATTCCCTCCTATCCCTGCCACCCAGTTCTCACTCCTCACAAGAGCAGAAAGACTCCTGGGGCGGGGGCAAGAACTGCTGTTTCTGGGGCACAGCAAGGCACACTAGGGCGCTAAGCTCCCGGCACCTACTTGCAAGCTGCCTAACTCTTTGCAGTCCCACCCAGGCTACCCGTGTCTCCGTGTGTCTGTCTGTGTCTGTGTCTCTGTGGCTGAGAATAAATGATGAAGAGAAACCAGCAGAGCAGCATGCCCTGCAAGAGTTAAAGGTGAGTGCCCAGCGTAAGGGCCAGGTGGGAGGCTGCCTCTGGAGAAGTTAGGTGCCAAGGGCTTAGCTATGGGCCCCAAGCCCTGTAAAACTCAAGCCTCCCTTTAATTATAAGAGGAGCCTCTGGCTTGTCATGATACCAGTTACATAAGGTTCCAAGAACAAAAGCTGATGCCTTTTGAAGATCCTGGCTCAAGGCATCCACTGGCTCCCCTCTGGAGGTGACCTGGCCCCTCACCTTGCTGCCTAATGCCTCCCACCTTCTGCATTTTCCAGGGTTCATAAATCACACAGGGGAGCCACAGGCTAAGAGCTCAGTGAGGCCAATTTCCTTTGCCAGGGCCCTCACTGCAACAAGAACAGCCAGTAATGCGCTGGCCCAGGAAGAGTCCGTTGTGCACATCTCAGTGACATCACACTGGTAGCTTGAAATCAGCCATGGTGGGAGTATTTACACCACGGTAACTGGCACCACTCGTCTCAGTTTGTTGTACTGTGGTGGCTTATGTGTTGCTACGATGCTGGAAGCTATGCTACCAGGATTCAAATACCAGCAGGGTCACCCACGGTGGACAAGTTTCAGTGGAGCTTCCCAACCAAGACAGACTAGGAAGAAAGGTCTGGCAATCTACTTCCAAAAATTAGCCAGTGAAAACCCTACCGATCACAACAGAGTATTTTCTGATATAGTGCTGGAAAATGAGTCCTCTGGGTTGGAAGGCGCTCAAAATACTCAGTGGCTACAACAATGGACTTGAGCAAACCAACAATCATGAAGGTGGCGCAGAACGGGGCCATGTTTCATTCTGTGATATATGACATCACCAGGGCCAGAGACAACTCCACCACAGCCAGTAACAATTGGCAAATATTACAAATCAGCCTTTTTACTTTTTTCTTGGAGAGCTGCTATTGGACATTTACCAGCACACCACTGACCAAAAAAATCCTCCAGAGAGAAGGGGGCCTATCTGTCTTGTCTCCAAAACCTGGGAGTCCCCAAACAAACCCTAAGGGGCTGGGAGAGAAAGGAGCCCTTACCGTATCTGGATATCTACTCTTTGAGCTAGTTTTCTCATCTGTTCTTGGCAACATTTTAGCAAATCCACCTCCTGAAACAATAATGTCAGATAAAGAGTTGGACATCTTAGAAACTCACAGTATCCTGTCCCCCAGGCCAATACCACCACCCTTTAACCCACGTGATCCTGGGGCCAGGTGACTAAGGGCTATTGTGGGAGTGCCACATTCCTTGCCCTACTTTCTTTTATTTGTATTATTATTTCTTTAATAATATTTTATTGTGTTTTCAGTAAAGGTTTACAAGGTATTTTAGGTTCCCATTCAAAAATTTCTACACAAATTGTTGTGACATTACATTCTTCACAATGCATGAACGTTCTTGTTATTGCTGTTCTGGTGGTTCTGTTTCCATTAATCTAGTTTCCCTGCCCTCTTACATTCTCATCTTTGTTTTAAAGTAATTGTTGACCATTTGGTTTCATATTGGTGATTTTTTAAAGAAGTACAGTACTTACAGATGATATTCATTACCTTTGAGCCAATTTATTATTTAGCTGCAAGGTGACCTCAGGAGTTATTTTTTGTTCAACGTTTGGAGAGTATCTCAGGGCAGTAGTCTCGGGGAATCCTCCAGTAGGTCTGTTTTTTTGTTTGTTTGTTTTTAGGAACTTGAGATTCTGTTCCACATTTTTCTCCCATTCTTTAAGGGTGCATCTATTGTGGCCCTGGTTAGAATGGTCAGTAGTGGTCACCGAGCACCATCTAGTTCTTCTGGTCTCAGTGTAGATGAGGCCGTGGTTCACATAGACTATTTGTCCTATTTGTTCTTTCTCTTTTGCTCCCGATGAGCAGAGACCAATCGTTGTATCTTAGTTGGCCACTAACCTTTCTTTTATTTTTACTTCCAGATTAAAAGAAAACTGAGCATCTACTATGTGCCAAGTGCTCACTTACAGGTTATTTTATTGTTAAATAATGCATATAAATTGGCTCAGTGCATGGCACATAGTAGATGCTCAATAAGCACCAACTTCTGTTATTGTTACTTACTGGTATTATTATTATGCCCATTTTGGAGGTGAAAAGGCTGAGGATCAAATGTCCCTATTTATCCCTGTCCCTAAACTGCAGTGTATGCCCCTCACTCATGCCGTCCAAGCTCTAACTTTCATGGGTGATACGTGTGGCTTCTGTTCCCGAAAGGCAGCTCAGAAACCTCTCTGATCAGCTGGCCCTCTCTCCTCCCTCAGGGGGCTGGGCAGACCAGGGAGATGCCTTACCCGGATGAGGTTCTTCTCCACCATATCATGGACCAAATCAATCCCGATCCTTTTCTCTCGATGGTACAGACACTCCAGGGCCACCTGTAGGAAGCAGTGGGAAATAGTGTGTTCTCTGCACAGCTGCATGTAGAGCCTGAGCAGAGGTGGCTCATATCTGCCTTGGCACGATCTGCTCTTTTCCCTGGGAAATCTGGGGGCTTCATTCAGCCTCCTCACTGGGCTTTGGGCGGGCTTCTGCTCCCCTTTCTCCCTAGAAGTAGGGAGAGGCTGTGGGATGCCATGCCCAGTGCATTAGCGGATGCTGGGCCCAGGTAGAGAAAGTGGGATGAAGTTTCTTGGGAACCAACTATGTTCAAACGTCTCTTGACTCTACACCAAGGAGTGATTGGGCATGAGGCCTGACATCCCTCCCATAATCTTCGTAAGCTGCCCCCAAGCCTTCCCCAAATTATAATAAATAAGAGTAAAAATCCACTATAGTTTCAGATAAGACAGGATTGGCTACTATTCTCTATGTAGCTTCCTTTCCCCCATCTTCAAGTAGGAGTGGATGACAATTCTTCTGGGGAGGTGATGGAGGAGGCAGGGAGGGTGAAGCTGGTTGGAGAAATGGAAGGTAACACATCCCATTTCAGGATTATAAGAGGTGGAAGATGGGTCCCTACATCCACATTTTCCTAGCCCAACCCACTACAGCTGACAAAATGGGTACCAGTTAATTGGCTGGATGTGCCAACCAGATATAAAAAAAAAAAAACAAAAAACAAGAGTAGAACTGCCCCATAGAGTTTCCAAGGAGCGCCTGGTGGATTCAAACTGCCAACCTTTCGGTTAGCAGCCATAGCTCTTAACCATTACACCACCAGGGTTTCCCACCCAGATATATAACCCAGAGTTGTCCCCACTGATATAGATACTGGAGCAGACAACCACCACCAGGTGGCAGAAAACAATTTCTGATACAGGGAGGGATTTGGAATGGAAAGAGGACTCCTGGAACTCCCTGCCCACACTATGATTCCTCCAAAGATATACAGATGGCCAACAAGCACATGGGAAGATGCTCACAGTCATTACACGTTAGGGAAATGCAAATCAAAACCACAGTGAGCTACCACTTCACACCCACTGGAATGATTATAATAAAAGATGGAAAATAACATTTTATTTTAGTATTTTCTTTGGAGAAATGTCTGTCCAAGGCCTTTGCTCATTTTTTAATTGGGCTGGGGGATTTTTGAAGAAAGACCCTCATCCTCTAATCTGGTGGCACATTAGAAGCCATTGATCAGGATATGGAGAAACTAGAACCCTCCCACATTGCTGGTGAGAATGTAAAGTTGTTCAGTGGCTATGGAAAAATTGGATGCTTCCTCAAAAAGATAAGCGTAGAATTTTGACCCAGCATAATTTAGGTCTATAACCAAAAGAACTGAAAATAGGTACTAAACCAATACATGTGCACCACATGTTCACTGCAGCACTATGCACAAGAGCTGAAAGGTGGAAACAACCCAAATATCCATTAACAGAATGAACGGATAAACAAAATGTGATATATACACCCAATGGAATATTATTCATCCATAAAGAGGAATGAAGTTCTGATATGTGCTATAACGTGGATGAAACTCAAAAAGATTATGCTAAGTCAAAGAAGCCAGACACAGAAGGCCATGTATTGTATGAAATATCCAGAAAAGGTAAATCCATAGAGATAGAAGGCAGACTGATGAGAGCCAGGGGTTGAGATAAAAATGTTAGGAAACTTGACAGAGGTGGTAGTTGCATAACATTGAGAATATACTAAATGCCACTGAATTGTTCACCTTAAAATGGTTAATTTATTTTATGTAAGTTTTACCTCAAAAAAATAAATAACAAATCCTTCTGCTTCCAGAGATGTCCCAGTTACAGCCACAGATATGCCAAAGGAGAAGGTGGACTGATGCCATCTAGCCAACCAGTATTAACCATGCCCTCTGCCATGTTGTTCACAAAGGGTAAGGCTGGGCCTGGGCGTTAAGGCCAAAATGAATGTTGAGTGGGTCACATTGAGGGGTCCCCCTCATCTCCTTTCCTTCCTCACCCCTCATCCCTTGAGGGGAAAGCATCTCTGTTAAGACAGAGGAAAAACTTAGAGACTTTGTTAGTATAAGAATGCACTGAAGATGAGACGTGCTGGTCATGTAGATATTATCCACCAGGGCTCAGCAAACTTTTTCTGTAAAGGGCCAGACTGTAAATATTTTTAGCTTTGTAGACCATACATTCTATGTTGCAACTACCTAATTCTGCCATTGTAGCATGAAATGATAAACAATAGATAAACAAATGGGCATGAATGTGTTTCAATAAAACTTTATTTGCAAAAGCGGGTGGTGGGCCAAATTTGGCTTTGGGATGTAGTTTGCCAACCCCTGCTCTACACTAACAAATCTGAAAGACCTAGAACCACCTACAAAGATGCAAAGTGAGAACGCAGACCCCTTTAGGATGGAGCGAGGGACACAGAGGGGCAGTAGAAAATACCAACAGAAACATTGGGAGAGAAGAGAGGGGAGCCAGAAAGTTGGGGGTTCTATTGCTGACAATTTTATTTTCACATCTTTTGGGCTGTATGCATATGCAACTAATAGTAAGCCTGTCTTCTCTCTGCTAACGGCCTCTACTCTCCCACCTGCTCAGACCTTGCTTCCCAGTCTCCTAAACTAAGTGGTTACAGATGAAAAACACCCTGTTCCGGGCTGGTAGCAGTCCCTGGGTGGCGCAAATGGTTAAGCATTTGACTAATAACTGGAAGGTTAGTGGTTCAAACCCCCCCAGAGGTGCCTCAGAAGAAAGTCCTGATGATCTGCTTCCAAAAGGTCACAGCCTTGAAACCCTGTGGAGCACAGTTCTACTCTGACGCACATGGATTCACCATGAGTTGGAATCAACTCAACAGCAACTGGTTTTTTGATAGTGCCTGGCTGGTTGGGATTCTTGGTGGTCTGAATAGGCCCCTCCTCCAAGCTTCTTTTAACCTAAGAAACAGGGACATCCCTTGGGTGAGAGAAGGCCTAACTCCAGATTCAGACAGTTTAGTGGTTAGGAGCCCGGGTTCTGGAGCCAGACCACCCGAGTTCAAATCCAGGCTTAGCCACTTCCACCTGCGTACTTAACCTCTCTGACCCTCTGTTTCCTCATCTGCAGATGGAAGCAATTATCAGTGCGTATCTCAGGTTTGCCACGTGGATTAAATCAGCTGGGCAAGTGTAAAGCACTTGGAACAGCCTCAGAAACTGTTATCTGTGAATACTTGTGAAACTCCATTTTGGAGATCTCCAAACAGAGGGAGAGCTGTGGAAAGTGACCAGGGCCAAGCAGGCCTTGCAGCTGTTGTGGGAGACAAGAAGCAGAGCACAATGGAAGGCAGAAGAAGGGGCCGCTGGGGGAGCTCCTGCAATAGGAGACTGAGGGGGATGGTGATTGGGCCTCTCGCTGTGACGTCACAAAGAGCAGCAGAAGTGAGAAGTACTCACAGGGGAGCATTAACATCTTGATGCCAGGAATGCAAATGCATCTGAAAACTCAGAAAGGAAGCAGGCTCATTCATCATGCCCGAGAACTTGAAGATTTACCGGGCCTTTCCTGTGTACCAAGCTCGATAGGTGCTGGGGCTACCACAGTGGACCAGACAGACAGGGTCCCTGCATTCTAACGGGAGAGGCAACACACACGTAAACCCATAAAGAAACTGGATAGTTTCTGATTGTGATGAAAACAATCAGGATGGTGTGGAGGGGAGTAGCTGGCAAGGTGGGCGGGGAAGGCTTCTCGGAAGAGGGGACAAACCAAAGACCTGAATTGTGAGAAGCAGCTGTGCAGAGAGGAGTGGGAAGAGTGCACCAGGGAGAGGCAACAGCAGGTGCAAAGGCCCTGAGGTGGGACAAGGAACAGACAGGAGGCCACTGTGACTGGAGTGGAGAAAAGAGGCTAGAGCCGTGGGCATGCCAGACCATGCATGTTAACCGCAGTACAATGGGAAGCCACTGAGGGGACTTTAAGCAGGGGAGTGGTGTCCCTGGGTGGTGCAAATGGTTAATGTGCTCAGCTGCTAATTGAAAGTTTGGAGGTTTGAGTCCACCCAGAGGCACCTCAGAAGAAAAGCCTGGTGATCTACTTCCAAAAGATCAGCCATTGAAAACTCCACGGAACATGGTTCTACTCTGACACACATGGGGCTGCCATGAGTCGGAGTCAGCTTGATGGCAACTGGTATTTTTTTGTTTATTTTACACAGGGGAGTGCTGAGATTCCACTTAGTATTTAAAATTCTCCCATCTGGCTGCCGTGTGGAGAGTGGATCGCAGGGGAGTAGGAGTGGGGTGACTGGGTAGGAGGTAATTGCTGTTGTGCGGTGAGTGGCTGCCTGGACTGGGTGGTAGCCCTGAAGGTGTAGAGGAATGGTAGAACTGAGATGTGTCTTATCCCCATGTCACTGTCAGGGAAGCCATTGGAGCTCTGTGAAATGGGCTAAAAGTGGAAACACATGAGGAGCCTTCTGGAAAATCTGATATTTTCCTGATAAAAAGGGACAGACACAGTTGGCATGTTTGCCCTTTGCCCCACCCCCATCTCCTGCCTCAAATGCTCTTTGCAATCAGGAGGACAAAAGCCACATGCTAAGGACGGCAGGGAGTCCCTTGGTGGTGCAAACAGTTAACACGCTCGGCTTAAAGGTTGGAGGTTGGAGTTCACCCAGAGGCGCCTCAGAAGAAAGGCCTGGCAATCAACATAAAAAAATCATCCATTAAAAACCCCATGGAGCACAGATCCATTCTGACACACATGGGTTCTCCAAGAGTCAGAATTGACTCAATGGCAACTGCTTTTTAAAAGATGGCGGAGCAGAAAGATAGGAGCCTAAGTCCCTTCTAGTGTCAAATTGAAGCTGCACCAGCCCTGATCTCTGAAATTCTCATTATGAGAGAAAAGCAGATTCCCATTTCGTTAAGCCATTGTAGTCAAGTTTCTCTTACATGCAGCCGAAAGCCCTCCTAACTGACCCGGGATCAGACTGGAGACTGGAAGACCAAGGAAGTGCCAATGAACTTCTGCATTCATATATTTATTCATTTATCCAGCAAATATTGTTGAGTGCCTACTATATGCCAGGCACTGTGCTAGGCTGGGAATACATGAAAAATATTGGTCTAAGCAGCAATCAATGAGAGTAGACATTGGTCATCAAGGATCAGCAGAGCCAACTGGTACATCGCAGCTGAATATCAATCTGGAATACTTTGGTGACAAAGCAGACAAAAGTCCCTGCCCTCATGGAGCCTACTTTCTAGTGGAGGGAGAGAGACAATACAGAAATGAATAAGCAAATTATCAAGTATGCTAGAAGGTGATCGGTGCTATGGAAAAAAGAAAATAAAGTCATTATTGTAAGTATGTCCTCTCGAAAAGGACCGTAACACAAAACACACCTGCACAAGCATGCACACAATTTCTCAATGTGACCCCTGCAACCTTGATGTGACCCCGAGGAGACAAGGAAATTAAATTCGGTGTGAGGAACCCTGATTTCACTGGGAGTATCCTGAAATGACTAAGGCTAGATTTTAACCTTAAAACTGATCCTATCAATGACCTAAACATGAGAACTAAAAGTATAAAACTCTTAGAAGAAAACATAGGGGTAAAGTTTGAGACCTAGTTTTTGACAATAGATTCTCAGATAAATGATACCAAAAGCACAAGTGACAAAAGACAAAATAGATAAATTGGACTTGATCAAAATTAAAAACTTTTATTCCTCAAAGGACTCTATCAAGAAAGTGAGGAGATAACCTACTAATTGGAGAAAATATTTGGGAACCATATATTGAATAAAGAGCCCTGGTGGAGCAGTGGTTAAGAGCTCAGCTGCTAACCAAAAAGGTCGGCAGTTCGAATCTACCAGGTGCTCCTTGGAAACCCTATGGGGCAGTTCTGCTCTGGTCTGTAAGGTTGCTATGAGTCGGAATCGACTCAATGGCAACGGGTTTTTTATACTGAATAAAGGTTTAATATCCAGAATGTATGAAGAACTCCCACAACTCAACAACAAAAAGACAACCCAATTTAAAAAATGGGCAAAGAATCTGAATAGACATTTCTCCAAAGAAGATACACAGATGGCCAATAAGCACATAAAAAGATGCTTAAAGTCACTAGTCATTAGGGAAATGCAAATAAAACCACAATGAGATAACCGCTTCATGGCTGTAATAAAAAAAAACAAACAAACGGAAAATAACCAATGTTGGCGAGGATGCGGAGAAATTGAGACTCTTGTCCATTGTTGGTGGGAATGTAAAATGGTGCAGCCATTATGGAAAGCAGTCTGGCGGTTCCTTAAAAAGTTAAACATAGAATTACCATATGACCCAGCAATTCCACTCCTAAGCATATACCTAAAAGACTTGAAAGCAGGGATTCAAACAATGTTCATTGCAGCACTATTCACAACAGCCAGAAGGTAGCAGCAACCCAAGTGTCTACCAACAGATGAATGGGCAAACAGAATGTGGTTTATACATACAATGGAGTATTATTCAGCCATGAAGAGAAATGACTTTCTAATACATGCTATGACATGGATGAATCTTGAAAACATTATGGCTGAGTGAAATAAGTCTGACACAGAAGGACAAATATTGTATGATCCCCTCATGTGCACTATCTCCAGTAGGCAAATGCATAGAGACTGAAGTTTATTAGTAGTTACTGGGGACTGAGGGGAGGGAGAATGGGGTGTTATGGCATAAGGTGCACTGAGTTTCTGTTTGGGGTGATGGTCACACAGCATGGTGAATGTAATTAATGTGACTGAATTCGACCCTTAAAAATGGTTAAAATGGCAAACTTTTTGTTATATATATTTTACCACAATAAAATTTTTTCAAAAACCAACTGATTATATGCCAATGCAGCTCAAACCGACATACAAGATGCCTGGGCGCTGGCTGGCCACAGCCCTCGCCCACCCCACACTTACCTGCAGAGGACAGTTCACCTCGTCGGCCGCGCATTCCAGCCGTTTCTTGACAGTGTCCATACTGTGATTCTCGGTCAGGAGCCTCTCCAGCTCATAGCCCAGCTCGGCCTTCCAGAAACCGATGTCTGACAGTCTCTGGCCCAGGTTCCGGCAGGTGCCCTCCTGCATCTGGCGTGTCAGCTGGTCCTTGTCCTGCATGAGCCGCATGGAATCGCCCATCAGCCGCCCGGCCCACAGCCGGGAGGCCTCGGCCCCACGCAGCTGCAGCTGGTTGGATTGGTCCCAGTCGTGGGGGCTGTAGCGACTGAAGAGTGCTGAGCGGAGGGCCGGCAGGATGGTGGGTGGCCGCAGGGCGCTGTGGCTCATGGTGCCCTCATCTGGGCAGGTCTGCACGCTGGAGACCTTGCAGAAGAGGCTGGGTCTCCATGAGTTGAGGTAGCGGTACCCAGGCAGGTAGTAGGGCTGGTAGCTCTCCTGGATCACGGGGGTCTGCACGGAGGGAGGCAGCGCACTCAAGCCACAGGCTTTCTTGGAGCCGCAGTAACTGGCGGTCTGAGAGGTTCCAAGGAACTCCATCCTCCTGCATCAGCCCTTCTCAAGCCAAACTCTGCCCAGTGGGGCAAAGGCATCACCAGTCAAGGGGAAGGGGCTTCTCTGAGGGACCAGCAGACCCTCTATGACTCAGCGCCGGTGTCATAAAGCCTGGAGCAGTGGAACTTTAGCAGGGCCCTTGCTCACTCTCAGGCCAGCTGGGGCCATATTGTCTGAATCAAAAAGAAAAAAAAATCAACAAAACAAATATGAGGTTCTCAATCCACAGAGTTGAGGGTGCGAGAAATGGCACTTCAGTTATTTTTTCTGTGACAATTTAAACTGTCTGCCCTGTGGGAAAAAACTTAATGTAGTCCCCTCCAGGATCTCAGTCAGTGCAGGGTCCATTTGGTCAAGGTTGGTTGTCTTCCTTCTCTTGTGTCCCCAACATGGCATCAAGGTTGTTGTTGTTGTTAGGTGCCGTCGAGTCGGTTCCGGCCCATAGCGACCCTATGTACTACAGAACGAAACACTGCCCGGTCCTGCGCCATGCTCACAATGGTTGTTATGCTTGAACCCAATGTTGCAGCCACCGTGTCAATACATCTCGTTGAGGGTCTTCCTCTTTCTCGCTGACTCTGTACTTTACCAAGCATGATGTCCTTCTCCAGGGACTGGTCCCTCCTGATAACATGTCCAAAGTATGTAAGATGTAGTCTTGCCACCCTTGCTTCTAAGGAGCATTCTGGTTGTACTTCTTCCAAGACAGATTTGTTCGTTCTTTTGGCAGTCCATGCTATATTCAATATTCTTCACCAACACC